GCCATGAAACCCAGTGGGTGACCTTGGGCAAGTCACATACTCTCAGCCACAAGGGAAGGCAATGGCAACCCTCCTCTGGCCAAGAAAACCCCATGATAGGTCCCCCTTAGGGTAGCCATAAGTCAGAAATGACTTGAAGGCACACAACAACAAAATATGGCCAGCAAAGCTACTCCAGGACACTTTTTTTTAAAATATTGTGGATATATGAAATATATCATATATTGTTGATATATGGAATACCTGAAATATTGTTCAGAAGTTTCCGTCAACCTGGGCTTACAGTCTAAATCTGTCACAAAGCCTGGGTTTCTAATAGACCTTTAAACATTCTGAGTGTAGAGAGCCCGGAGGGATTCAGGACCAGCCTGCCATTTGGGCTATTTCTTTTTTAATTTATATTGCATAAAATGTTGCCTTTTCCCACCGATGACAGAGTTCAAGGTAATGGGCAGAAGCCAGCCTCCTAGGGTTGGGCCAAGAGACTTTTTCTGCCTCAGGAAGACAAGATGGCGTCCTCCAATCTGTTTACAGAGGCTGACTTAAGCACTGGTTAAGGGACAGCCAGCGTGGCTTAGTGCTTTGAGTGTTGGACTATGACTCTGGAGACCAGGGTTCGATTCTCAGCTCGGCCATGAAACATGCTCTCAGCCTCAGGGGAAGCCAATGGCAAACCTCCCCTGAACAAATCTTGCCAAGGTTCGCCTTTGTTGTTGCTGTGTGCCTTCAAGCCATTTCTGACTTATGGTGTCCCTAAGGTGACCCGATCATGGGGTTTTCATGGCAAAAAAGAAAAAAGAAAAAAAAAGCAGCTTCATTTATATACCGCTTCATACCACACTATAGAGTGTCTAAGTGGTTTATAACTGTAAGCTCCTTGCCCCCCAACAGCTGGGTACTCATTTTAGCGACCTCAGAAGGATGTAGGCCTGAGTCTAGCCTGAGCCCTGGCTAGTATTGAACTCGCAACCTTGTGGTCTATGAGTGAGTGGCTGCAGGACAGGCATTAACCATGGCAAGATTTATTCAGAGGAGTTTTGGCTGAGAGAAACCAAGGCCACCCAGTGGGTTTTATGGCCGAGCTGGGAATCAAACCCTGGTCTCCAGAGCTGTAGTCCAGTGCTCAAACCACTATGCCAGGGGTAGGCAACCTAAGGCCCGGGGGCCGAATGCGGCCCCCCGAGACCTGTGGACCGGCCCCAGGCCAGTCCTGCCGCTGCCGCCCCCCGCCATGATGATATTATTGTTGTTATTACTTGTTCTTGAGGTTTTCTTGGCAAAATCTCCACAGGGGTTTTGCCATGGCTTTTCTGGGGCTGCGAGAGTGTGCATGCATATTTTTAAATATTTTTTTATTTTTAAAAAAAGATATATTATTATTTTTAATTAATTAATTAATTAGTTTTTGGTGCTTCGGCCCCCCAATTGTCTGAGGGACAGCAACCGGCCCTTGGCTCAAAAAGGTTGCCTACCCCTGCACTATGCTATGCTGGCTCCTAAGCCAGAAAGGACTTGAAGGCACACAACAACAGCAGCAGCAACAAATGCTTCCCCTCCTCAAAGGCCAATACTCTCTCTGCCTCATGGGAGGGCCAGCCCTTCAGCCTCCATTCTTCCAACCTCCAGCAGCTCTGTTGCCTGAGGTGGCTGCCTTCCTCTGCCTAATGGTAGGATTGGCTTTGAAAGGACTCTATTCATGACTGAAACTGTAGGCTCTCCGCTGCTTGGAAGAAACTTCCACTGAACCAATTCTCAGACCCAACATTACAGCTAGGTTTAAATATTCTGGTGCGCTTGATTTGTAGACTCCACCCTTTCAGTGTTCCTCCAAGACTAAACAACCCCCCCCCCCCCCACTCCCATTCTTTCAGGTTTCTCAGAATCTGGGCTCTTAATCCAGAGTATTTTGCCCAGGTCTCTGGGTTCCCTAACATAATCCTCCTCACTCAGTTGGGTTTCTGTCCTGGAAGAATGAAGGGTCGGTACATGTCCACCCAGGCTCAGTGTTACTACAGATTTATCTGCAGATTTATCTGTCACAGGCTCCCATAGCAAAGTTCAGCCTGGAAAGGCAGAGAGAGCAAAGGGCAGCTGTGATAGACAGCCAGTCATTGCGGGGCACAGCCTTCTGCCTTGTGGAACCAGTTGCAAGTTTAGTAAGCAGGAGGCTGTTTATCCAGAGTACAGAGGTTAAGCTCCCCTGGCCCCAACCAGAGAGTACATTCGGAGAAAACACTAAGAATAAGCCCTTTCCTAAAGTAACGATCCATCATGCCTTCAAAGTTATGGTATTAATGGACTAAATCATGCCATGTGTGTAGAAGTGTGACTGAACAGTAGGGAGATCCAGGCTCAGGTCTTCCGCATGAAACCCACTGGATGAGTTTGGGCCAGCTATGCTTTCAACTTTAATCGGTTGAGAGATTAAAGTGGGGATGAGGACAGCCATAAGCACTACCTTGATCGCTTTGGTAGACTATTTTGCAGTTTTGAGATTGATGCAAGGATGCTGGTCTGATGTTAGAGAGAGCTAGCTTCTAGTTCCCATTGACGCAGGGGTGTCACTAGCAGGGTTCAGACTCCACCGGGTGACACCTCAGACAGGGTGAACACCCAGAATGGTGGCCACTTCCATCTGTCCCAAAA